ATGTAGAGGGAAAATAAAATGTTCATCTGTCATAATTCACATCCTTTTTAAATATTTTTGTCATGTTTGATTCATCTTTTTTTGTAGTGACGGAAATCAAACATTACAGATAGATAAATGTGAGGTCCTCTTGTCCTCCAATCCCAGTCCTGCTCACCTCCCAAGACGTTCTTAATGCTGTAAGGGCAACAAAAATACTCAATACTTTGGTATATACTGCCACCTAGTGATTGATTTTGTAATGACACTAAATGATAGTGGGTCTCCTACAGGAGAAAGACCACCCCCAAGAAGACATTTTTGGAAAATTTAGGACCGGGTTGTGGTATTGTCACTGGCTTTTAGTGAGCAGGAACTAGGGATGCTAGATACTCTCATTTTCCTGGGACAGTGGCCTCATAAAGAATTGTCCTAAATCCCGAATGTTTTTCCTAGGTCCTGTGGGATATTCTTGCAGATGAAAAACCTGTTCGCTGTTAGCTTAGAACCTAATTTGATTTTACATAGAAACACAAAATATTTTTTGCACAATTTTAATATAATTCTGACTTGTCCAGGAATACAATTATTATGCACATTGAGAAAAAAAATTGTACTTTGCTCAGATTTTACCAAGAAAGTTTCATCATTAGATAAAATTGTTTCATTTGTTGGGCGCCTGGGTGGCTCAGATGGTTAAGCGTCTGCCTTCGGCTCAGGTCATGATCCCAGGGTCCTGGGATCGAGTCCCACGTCGGGCTCCCGGCTCAGCGGGGAGCCTGCTTCTCCCTCTGACCCTCTCCCCTCTCATGCTGTTTCTCTCTCGCTCACTCTCTAAAAAATAAATAAAATATTTAAAAAAAGAAAAAAAAATTGTTTCATTTGTCATTTGTGGTAAACACACTATGAGAACAGGACACCTTTTTCAGTCTGCACTTCCTTTCAGTTAAGAGGTTGCATGTGTGGTGATTCTATGTGTGTTTGTATAATATATTATTTAGCCAAATTTTAGAATGCCAAATATAAAAAGAAGTGATAGCAATATTCAGTAAACTTGTCTCCTGTTATTCTAAAATTATTCATTATAGGGGTGCCTGAGTGACTCAGTTGGTTAAGCGTCTGCCTTCAGCTCAGGTCATGATCCCAGAGTCCTGGGATCGAGCCCCGTGTTGGGCTTTCTGCTCAGCAGGAAGTCTGCTTCTCCCTCTCCCTCTCATTCCCTGCTTGTGCGCTCTCTCTTTCTCCCTTTCTCTCTCTCTCAAATAAATAAAATCTTCAAAAAAAATTTTTTTTAAAGATTTTATTTTTATTTATTTGAGACAGAGAGAATGAGAGAGAGAGCACATGAGAGGGGGGAGGGTCAGAGGGAGAAGCAGACTCCCTGCCGAGCAGGGAGCCCGATGCGGGACTCGATCCCGGGACTCCAGGATCATGACCTGAGCCGAAGGCAGTCGCTCAACCAACTGAGCCACCCAGGCGCCCCCCAATTTTTTTTTAATTTAAAAATTATTCACTATAAATAGTTGTATACATCTGACCATCTCACTAGACCTTCTATGGTCACTTAAATATTAAAATACATTTTATTTTGTTATAGATGATTTTCTTTTTCTTATACTCCAGTGTAAGGGCATCATATTGATTATATATATATATGCACGCTGAAAGCTTTTGAGAACATTGGTGTATTTTGAACAGAGGAATGCCATGATCTGACTTCCATTATTACAAAGATGGCTTGAGGTAACATATAGGAAACTCGGTTCTGTGCTTGATGCAGTGAATACGTTAATGGATATTCCTTCTCTTTTCTAAGGCAGTAAGTGAACCGGGCAAAACAGGCCACTCTGTGAAACATGACACAATACCACCATCTAGTGGGCAAAATCCTGTTTCATAAGCAAAGCTTTGTTTCATAAGCAAAGCTTCAAAAGTTTACTTAACAAAGAAGGTGCAGTTAAAATTTAAACTGCTGTATATCCTGTAGAATTAGAGACATCTTGGTGTAAATCAGAAATTCCTTATCTGAAATGATTTTAAGTAAAAACAAAGTAATATAATTTCCAAGACACTGCTTTGATTCCATTTCTCCTATCATGAAATTATTTCCCTAAGGAAGTCTTTCTTTTCCTCCCTCCCTCCCTCCCTCCCTCCCTCCCTCCCTTCCTTTCTCCCTCCTTCCTTTCTTCCTTCCTTAGTAGGCTCCATGCCCAACATGGGGCTTGAACTCAGAAACCTGAGATTCAGAGTCCCATGGCTCTACTGACCGAGCCAGCCAGCCACCTGAGGAGGTATTTCTTTCAAGGCTTACACTTCAAATGTTGCTGAGCCTTCATTTTTTCGCTGAGTTTTTAAAGTCACTGAGGGAGTTCAGAGCAGGCTGCCCCAAAATATGCCCCTTTGGCATACTGATTATTTTGAATTAAAGTTGACCTAAGAAGCAGCTGGTACAAGAAGGCCTCTTTGACCCTCCTTTGTCTCCTTGAAAGCAGGAAATAAATCTCCCTTGTGAAAGGCACCCTCCCTGCACCAGGAGGTAGAGAGACCCCCTCATCACCAGAAAGGAAATTTAGGGCCGAGAATGTTGTATAAATAAATCCTATTACTTCTTCACTAATTCACTACCCCAAGCCCAAACTTGATCAAGTCAATTGTCTTGTCTAAAAGGTATAAAAAGCTGCCTGCTTTAGTCACTTCTTTGAGTCTCATATTTCTATGAGCTCCCATACGTATGAATTGTTTGTTTTTCTCCTATTAATTTGTCTTATGCCAATTTAATTATTAGACAAGCCAAAACCTAGAAGGGAAGAAAGGAAAACTTTTCCCTCCCTACATCATACTCTCCCTGGGCGACCTCATTTATAGGCACTCTTGTGATCACCATATATGTATATTTAAAAGCTTTATCTTTTAGCTCCTAGCCAGACCTTTTTTCAAACTCCAAGTTCTACATCCAGCTTCAAAGCATGTCCTCCCTTGTGTATTCTCATAGCACCTCAGTCACCACAAATCAAAACCGGGACTCATCATATCTCATCCCAAGTCTGTTCCTACCCTTCCTACAATATATTGTGAGAGGAAATGCAGTTGCTCAGGAACCTAGAATTCATCTTTGATTCTTTCCCCTCTTCTTATTCCTCATGTCTAATCAAGTAATTACTATTGTCCATTGTATCTCAAAAATTACTTCTTAAACCCAGCCACCTTCACCACTCACGTGGGCCCTTAGAGACAGAAAAAAAAAAAGAGACATTAAGACATTAAGTAATCACACAGATAAATGTAAAATTGCAACTTAACTTAAAATCTAAAAATCCCCTGGTAAGCCAGGAGCCTGCTTCTCCCTCTGCCCCTCCCCCTGCTTGTGCTTGCGCTCCCTCTCTCTCAAATAAATCTTAAAAAAAACCAACAACAAAAGACTCCGTAAGAGAGGGAAAAAAAGATACTAATTTTAATTTCTCTGACAGTTTCAAGGCTTCTATTTTGCCTTTTCTACTTCAGTAATTCTGACACCACCACGAGTGAAGGAGCTAATTTGAGAGGCTGCAACTAAATATATCATTAAAAATGGGAATGACATTTGAGAAATGGAAATGATCTTTGACCTCTGGTTGACCTCTATCTATGAATTATCTCTCACCTCTCTGAAAATATTATATCTATCAAAAAGTCTTGGGATTTTTGCTCCATTACCTCTGTTTCCTTTGGTCTTAACTCTTTCAACTGGTGACTTTTTAGATCTCTTTTTTATGTCGTTGGTCATACATGAATGGTGACTTTTTTTTTTACTTTATTTTTACAAATGTTGATTCTTGGTTGTCTCCTTCCAGCTTTGTGTTTGAGAATCTGTGTTCACCATTCATTCACCATCTGTTTTGCACAACCCACCTCCAGAGAATTGGGAGAAGGCGTAAGACCATAACTGAGCTTGAGTAGGGAGTTCTGCTGGTGGTTTGTCTTCTGGGAATTGTTGCTCCCCATTCCTGGAATTCATTTGCCACCAGGCATTTCCCTGCCTTTCCGTGACCATTTTGCACACTGCTTCAGCCCATGCATGGAGCTGCTGTTAGCTTAGTATGGGTGGACATGAGGAAGCTACCAGCTTCGATAATCAATCACCCCAATACATACCCCAGAGCCACCTCTCACTTCTTGTATCTAGGCTTGATGCTCCCCTAAGCCTTTATACACTTGACTCAGACTCATTGATGGTTAACATTTTGCGCCACTTCTTCTACCATTTTTTGTCAATGCCTCTAATGTATATTCTTCTTTTGAAGTTCTTGAGAATAAGATGCAGACATCATGCTCATTTGCTCCTAAATATTTCCATGTGTATTTCCTAAGAAAATGGACATTCTGTTATATAACCGCATCCCAGTTATCTAAAGCAGGAGATTTAATGTTGATAAAAAAAAAAACTCTTCTCTAACCCCTAGTCCGTATTCAGGTTTCATTACTTACCTCAACAACGTATTTTATAGCAGTAATTTTTCCTAGTCTAGGATCTAACCTAGGATTTTATATTGTATTTAATTATCATGTCTCTTTACTTTCTTATAATCTCAGAGAGTTCCTCAGTTTTTCTTGTCCTTCACGACCCTGCAATTTTTGAAGGGTATAGGCCAGGTTTTTGTTTTGTTTTGTTTTGGTTTTGGGGTTTTTTGTTTTTGTTTTTTTTTTTTATAGAATGTCCCTCAACTTGAGTTGCCTGAGGTTTTCCTTACATTTAGATTCAGGTTATGCATTTTTGGCAGGATTAGCTCAATATATCATATCAGAAGGCACATGATGTTCATCCCAATATTGGTGACGTTCGCCTTGATCACTTCATTGAGGTAATATATTCTGTTGGTTTGCACGCTGGCCCCCGTCCATAGAGGGCAAGGTGAGACCAAAGAAAGAGGCAGACCACTCCAGGTTGGTAGGTGGCAGCTTTTAATAAGGAGGGGAACTTTATTACGAGGTTTGTCTTGGGCAGCAGGAAGACAAAGAAATATCTGCACCCGCACACCAGAATCTTAAAAGTTTATTATACAGAGGCCTTAACTAGGTTGTTACATATACCACCCAGATGGTTTCAACACCTTACTGTCTCGAGGCTATGTCCTTGGAACAGCTCCTGCTGTGGGAATGGTGGGCCGAACTTACATACCAAGGACAAGGGAGGGGTGAAGAGGCTCCAGTCCAGCTGGAGGGTCAAATGATGGTCGTGTCTTCTCAATGACCTCCTCCAACATGCTCCAAGTTTACCATTGTGAAGTGAATATTTTCTTTTGTAATTACTAAGTATTTTTTAGGTACTTTGCAACTATGTAAATATCCCATTTCTCAGATCAAATTGACACCTGTTAGTTTTAGTAAGTAATCTTTCAAAAATCTCAATCTGATCAAGTGACTCCCCTGCTCCAAATAATCCAATGATGTCCCCGTGCATTTCACTTCTTTTAGGGAACACCTTCCCCATTGCCCAGGTCCTACTTCTGAGAGTCTTTCTCGATTCCTCTCCCTTTCTCACTGTCTTCAGTGTCCACAAAGTCCCCCCATTCTACTTTCTGAATATTTGTTATTTCTCCTTCTCTTTGTCCTTCAGTTCAAGTTCTTACCAATTAGTTCTGCCCTTGTCTATTTAAATTTTCTGTCTGTTCTTGCCGGTTCAAGCCTCGGTTCCTAAACTATCCTTCAAACTGCTACCTGAAAGATCTTTCTAAAGCCAAATATCTATTATTGATATCTTCATATATATATAAGAAAGTCCAACTAATAGGCTTCAGAGATATAGAACAAAAAATGTGGGAGCACGGGGAGGAGATGTTGTCAAGAAAATCACGTAAGAACATTTCCCAGAAAGGAAGAATATGAATTTCCAGACTGAGAGGGCCCAACACAGGCCTGGAGAGAACTCTGTAGAAACCATAAGCTTTAGCTCACTGTTGCGATGCAGGAATGGGTCCCATGTTGCCAGATATCCTGATTTTTTAGAAAGAAGAAAAATCACATTGTTAGTGGAAACTCTACTAATTTTTAAATTATGACTGAAATTTAAAAAAAAATACACGCACAACACCCACAAACATGAAACTAGGGGAGGACAGGGGCATCTGTAGGTTAGACTATAGTGTACATGAAAAGCACTTGGGGGTGTAGAGTCTGGAAAAGCAAGATGGACCCAGCATGAAAAGTCCTGGAAGCCAGCAGAAGGAGTATGAGCTTTTTTTTCAAGGGTGAGGGAGATGTTGATGATCTGTGAGCAGAGGGTAATGCTATTAGAGAACTTAATGTTTAGAAAATTTACTGACTGTGGTGTGGAGATATCTGGGCAGTAGGAAGGGGGATGGACAGTAGGAAAACCTAGGCCTTACGAGGCCACAGTAATAGAAATGAGAGCCCAAACCAAGGTCATGGTTATGAAACATTTTAAGTTTTTGGAATGCCTGGAAGCCACCGGGCTCTTCGTTAAATTAAAAATATAATGAGGGGCACCTGGGTGGCTCAGTCGGTAAGTGTCTGCCTTTGGCTCAGGTCATGATCTCAAGGTCCTGGGATCGAGTCCCGCATCAGGCTCCTTGCTCAGGGGGGGGTCTGCTTCTCCCCCTGTCTCTGCCCCTGACTTGTGCACTCTCTCTCTCTCAAATGAAGAAACAAAATCTTTTTTTTTTTTTTTAAGATTTTATTTATTTGTCAGAGAGAAAGAGAGAGAGAGCATGAGCAGAGGGAGGGGCAGAGGGAGAAGCAGGCTCCTGGCTGAGCAACGAGCCTGGATGAGGGACTCAATCCCAGGGCCCTGGAATCATGACCTGAGCGGAAGGCAGACGCTTAACTTACTGAGCCTCCCAGGTGTCCCTAAATAAAATCTTTAAAAAAGTAAATAAAATAAAGTAAAAGAAAATTAAAAAAAAATGAAAACAAAGAAGAGGAAACAAAAAAAGGTATTAATACGTAATTTTTATTTATGAACTATGATTTACTAAATAAAATGCCCATTTCACACTATGAAACAAAATACATGAACACTATAATCAAGTTTCCAGTGTCCACGGAAACTATCAATTTTACGTGGTTGGCTCTTTTGAAGTTTTTCTGTAACTGTTCGTTTACCAAATAAAAGATTTTTTTTTCCTTGTAATCAGGTGAATGATTAAACAAGCCTCAAAATTAAGAAAAATGTGTAGAATTTTTTTTTTACTTTAGAGAAATGTATCTCTTAACATGCTTTAAAAAATGAATTAATATAGACTATCATTCCATTTTAAGAGAGGAACCAAGGTCCAGCTCCCTGCCAGAATAGCAGAATTGGATATTATTAGTATTCCTTAAAAACAAATAATTAATAATAACTAATAAATACCAATAACAAAAAGCTGCCATTTAAAAAATATCCTTTGCTTTCCATGCATTTTAGAATGTAGGTATTATTATCTTCTTTTTACAGATAAGGAAGTTGGAATGAGAGAAACGAAGTCACAAAACTAGTGAGAGCAGAGTTCAGATTCCAAGCCAGGCGCCTGACGTAAATGCCAGCATTCTTCATACACTAAGCTGCTTCCAGTTAATAGTGCACCTGCCATAGATGATTCTCTTCCAATTCATAAGTTTCTTATCATGCAACCGCCTTACATAGTCAACATTTTTCTCCATCATAGTCCTTGCATTCAGGTGTATTAAAAAAGGTTAATGAAGAAGTAGATCATAGGAACCAACCTTTAGGGGCGCCTGGGTGGCTCAGTCGTTGAGCGTCTTCCTTTCGGCTCTGGTCATGGTGCCGGGGTCCCGGGATGGAGCCCCGCCTGCATCGGGCTCCCTGCTCGGCGGGAGGCCTGCTTCTCCCTCTCCCCCTGCTTGTGTTCCCTCTCTCGCTGTGTGTCTCTCTCTCATATAAATAAAATCTTAAAAAAAAGGAACCAACCTTTCTACCACCAACTAAAGCACCACCCATGCCCCTGGGATGCCCTACTCTGTAGTTGCATATAATTTCACCCAGAAGTTGAAAGAAAATGCCTGCTCATTTCCCTTGAATTCAACCCCTCACTCACCTTCCCACCCACCCACCTCCTTCTTTTACTTTAACCAAGGCCTGATTTACATTACTAGTGGAACATTCCTCCCAGGCTGCCTCAGCTGTCAGGGGCAGCAAATGTCCTAAACGGAGGCTGCAGGATCCCTGGGAGAGTTTACATTATGTTCTTACAAGCTATTAATGCGTGTGCTTATATGGATGAGCTTTTCTCTGAAAACGTTGTATTCATTGTAAAATTCATTGTAAAAGACACCACAGAGAAAGCTGAGTGAACAGCTTACACATCCTGCAGTGGCGAGTCTGTGTGTGTTTTCCCAGGAGACTGCAGGCCCTTCCCAGCCCCCAGAAAGGTTGCTTTCCTCTGGACAGGGGGCTCGGCCCCTCTCCTGACACCCAGCTCAGACTGGTTACTCAGTGAATGGATGGATCTAGTCCAAGCCATTGTCTCCTAGATACGATGGTCCCCAGACGCAAAGAAGTGAGATTCCCCGTCCAATTCCCCCAGGGCCTCACTCCCAACCCAGTGTTTGCATAAAACCGGTTGCTTGTTTTTAGAGCCACCATAGGGCTGGAATCAGACTTTACCACCTCCTGCTGTGCCACCCAGGGCCAGGAGCTTGCCTCATTTGCAAAATGGGAGGAACGGGGACCACCTGAAAGGGTTGTGGTGAAGGATTTATAACTCGATGCAAGCCGAGTGCTTAGCATAAGGCCCGCCCCTGGCGGAGAATGAGACCATTTTGATGGCGACGAAAGGGGGACGCCGGCGGGAGACGGGAGGTGGGCAGCGGAAGGGGCGGGCGAGGGTTCCGCTGGCGCCCGGCGGGGTGGCAGCGCGGCTCCCACGAGGTCCGGCCGAGATCGCCCCGCGGCAGCGAGGCTTTCCTCCCGCAGCCGGGGCCGTGCGTGGGGTGGGCGGCCGCCGCCGCCGCCGCGGGACCAGCGCGGGGAGGACCTTTCGACGCGCCCGCGGACGCCCCGCCCCGGAAACACGCCCCCCGCCGCCTCGGCGCGCCTTTGAAAGTCTCCTCCCTTTCTCCTCGGACCTTTCGCAGCGTCCGGGTTGCTCGTCGAGCTCCGTTCTCTCTCCTTAGCCCTGCGGGGCCCCCCTCCGGGCGTAGCGATGCGGCGGACCCGCGCGGAGGTGGACGCGACGCTCCAGATCGCCAAGCTGCATGCGGCCGAGCTGCTGCCGGTGGCGCACTGCCTGGGCTTCGGCCCCGGGGCCGGCGCCGCTGCCGGCGACTTCTGCCTGCTGGAGCTGGAGCCCGCGCTGTGCCAGCAGCTGGAGGCCGGGCACAGGTGATCGCCCCGCGGGGAGACTGGGCCGGACACGCGCCTTGATTTGAACGCGGGGCTCGCAGCTGCCCGGAGGCCGCCTCTCCGGCGCGCTGCCTTTTTCCCCGAGGAGTCCACGCCACTGCTGGTCCGCCCACTTAGCGGGACGGAGGTCATACGGGGGGCTGGTCCAGCTGATCTCGGGGAGGCCTGCGTCCGCGGAAACAAAGCAGGAAAGAGAACCTCAGTGACGTTCTGGAGACCCTAACCAGGATGCCAGGAACTGCACTGAACACTTCCGCCATTCTAGCTTAAAATCCGGTGCTACTATCTAATATTTATACCCTTCTACTTATATTCCTTAAGTAGGTCGGACTGTAGGGAATAAGTTGAAAGCCGTTCTACAGAGTTGGTCATTGTGGGAGGCCCTCAAAACACAGACTCGGCGTGGGGTCATTTAATGGAAATCTGAAGCTGTTTCTAATTTGGGGTCAGCTACACATTTGCTGCAAAACCCTGGATTGAAAAACATAAGGGCAGAAGTCTAGAGAATCATTCCACTTTGTGCGCTCCCAGCTTCTGGAAATAGGAGTTAGGGGCTCTGGTTTGCTTCTCTTCTGCACCGCCCTTCCTCCATCCAACACCTGTCTTTTATTAAGTAGTTTGTTCTCTTGTAGATTTCTTTAAATTGAACTCTTCAGGCTTTCAGTTTTCATATTTACTCGTCTGACACTGTTATAATTAACTGGCCCTCTGCAGATGCTAGCCACAAAGGATCTTTAAGGAAGTCCAAGGGGAGCCTCATTCATTGGTTTTCATTCCAGCTGAGTTGGGGGGAAGCGCGGAGTTTAAGAAAGGACTTCAGGTGTGCGGACTTTGGTTTTATCCAGTTACTATTCATCCACCTGGCAATCCAGAAGGACCTAGAAATGTGTGTTTTAAAAAACATTTTTGCCAGGGGACGGCTTTAAACAAAATATTGAAGCATGGATAGTGCAATGTGGAGATAAATGTTGAAGAGTGGGTACTTGGGACTGTTAAGTGTTATTAGCACTAGGAAACAAAAAAAAACAAACCCTTTTCACTTAAACTGTCTTAATTTTAAAAAGCATTTACACATTCTTCTATTTCAGGTTTTATTTTTATTTCTTTAAAAGAAGTGAATAGTGTACGGGAGAGTTAAACGTTATACAGACAAAACTGCTAGGGTCTATGCCCTTGTCAATCCCATCATCTTTGTCTTTAGTCTTCTTCCTTTTGTCTGTCCTTCCCCTCTGCTCCTCTTCTTGCTCTTTTCCACCGGTGAGCCGTTGTCAGAACTTATTTACTGCAGTTTGTGAAAACATATTTTTCATGTATTTTCATTTAGCATTGCAGTTCTCTTTATAAAGTCCCAATTTCTTTGCAACAGAGCTGATGCGTAGGCTAGGATGTGCTTCTTTGATTGCTAGGGGATATTCAGAACAAAACAAGAAGACCCACTCTTGGGGCGCCTGGGTGGCTCAGTCGTTAAGCGTCTGCCTTCGGCTCAGGTCATGATCTCGGGGTCCTGGGATGGAGCCCTGCATCGGGCTCTCTGCTCCATGGGGAGCCTGCTTCTCCCTCTCCCACGCCCCCTGCTTGTTCCCTCTCTCGCTGTCTCTCTCTGTCAAATAAATAAATAAATAAATCTTTAAAAAAAAAAAAAAAAAGACCCACTCTTAGTTGGGCACCAGGACCAACAGCGTGATGATCCTCTGGGAGCCTGTTAGAAATGCAGAATCCTGGGTCCCATTCCAGACCTGCAGATTGGGATTCAGCTTTTTAACAAGATTCCCTGAGGTACCTATGCATAGGTTTGAGAAGTATTGCTTTAACATGATTTAGGAAATTGACATCTTGACCGAAGTTACTGGATGGTTTGTCTTGTGCTCTTCCAAGCAGTTTGCATGAAGATGCCACGTGGTGATAGTTGGCCTCTTGGGCTCTTTGGATCTTTCTTACTCATGTTGAATTACTGTTCCTTAGTGAGACCACCTGGTGCCCCTCTGTCTCTCAACAGGCCCCCCTCTTGCTTTGTGAGCCCAACATGTGCTCGAGGGTGATGAAAATAGGGGCCAGACAGCCTCAAGACTTAATTTTAAATTCTACAAGCCTAGAGGATTTTGGAACTGTTTATAATGAAGATGTCCGTTGGTGTCTCTAAACCATGTATTTTCTTTTCCCATTTTCCTGCAGTCTTGTGATTCGGGGTGATAAAGATGAGCAGGCTGTGCTGTGCAATAAAGACAAAACGTATGACTTGAGAACAGCAGACACTTCCAATATGTTGCTTTTTATTCCTGGTTGTAAAACTCCGGACCAGCTGAAGATGGAGGAAATGCATTGTAACATTATTCACACTGAGGTACTGTTCTCTGCCTTCTAATTTATATGAGAATCACAACCCATGTGCTAATATTGCCTTTAATAATGATGTAATGTATGGTGATTAACATAACATAATTAAAAAAATAAATTTAACATTAAAAAATAAAATCTTTAGGTATGGGGGCACCTGGGTGGCTCAGTCACTTAAGCATCTGACTCTTGGCTTTTGGCTCAGGTCATGATCTCAGGGTCCTGAGATGGGCTTTGAGTTTGGCTCTGTGCTCAGCGGGGGAGTCTGCTTGAGATTCGCTCCCTCTCCCTTCTGCCCCTCCCCCCTCTCTAAAATAATAAAATAAATCTTTCAAAAAATCTTTAGTTGTGAAATGTATAATTACGGGATCTGAAAAGTTCTCTAATGAAATTTAAAATTTTTCAGCATTGTTTGGAGTCTTGTGAAGTTGGCTTATTTTCCCTATTTGATTTTTAAGTCCTAGACAAGATGACCATTTTCTGCAACATGGAAAGTTTGTTATTAGGTGATATATTCTAAAAGTTTTACCTATTTTTAGTAAGTCTTACTGTAGATATGTTTTGAAAGGAGACTTCCTCAAACCACAACTAATACCTTAAGTAATGGTTATGAGGTGGAGAAATGAAGAAATTTGAATTTTTGAGGCAGGTGTGTTTCTCGGTTTAGCTCATTACTGCCTCTAGCCATGCATAATAAATTCTTAATTATTATGGAGACTACTGCTTATAGATACCAAATAGAAGTCTCCATCTTGGCTAGGTTATTACACACATCATGATCAAAACACGGCTTTTAATTCTCTCAGAATGACTTTAGGCCAACTACTGCCTTAGAATTGGCATAGAAATAAGGGAAAATACTGGGAAATGTCAGTGACCCATGATGTTGTTAGAACAGAATAACTTCCAGTAAATTTTCTATTTTGGTTCAATTGTAATTAACTAGAAATATGGGCAGTTCAGCCTTTTGTAAAAGATGTTACTTTTTCATCGCGTACCTGTTTTGTAGGTGTTTTTGCAGGGGTATAACAATATGGGAGTACTTCTGAGCTCTCGTTATGGAAATTCTGTGCACTGAGACTGGGTAAAGTGTAACAGATCTACCAACTAAGGTTTTGTTTTTTTTTTTAAGATTTTATTTATTTGAGAGAGAAAGCACAAGTGGAGTCGGGGGAGGGACAAAGGGAGGGGGAGAAGCAGACTTCCCACTAAGCAGGGTGCCCATTGCAGGGCTAGATCCCAGGACCCCGGGATCATGACCTGAGCCAAAGGCAGACACTTAACTGACTGGAACGCCCCAAAGATCTACCAACTAAAGGTTTAATCTGTGGTTGCAC